TAAAATTTTTTTAAATATTAAATTAATTAAAATAATCTAAAACAATTATAATAATAAATAATAAAAAAAATTCATATGTTAAGATAATAAATAGAGTCCATTTGGATTTCATGTTGATTTTAAAGTTTGTTTCTTTATTTTTACGGCCTTTTAAAGATTTTTAAGACTAATACTGAAATTAAAATCATCCTGTCTAAATTAAATTAATTCTGCGTTAATTAAATTCAGTACAACAAATGGTGCTGTGGAAATAATGTAGGCCAGGACTTTGAGCCTTATATGAAAACATGCATTTTATTAATTAAAATAAATATTACAAATTATTTAAAAAATAAATACATACAAATAATAAATAAAAATTATTGTAATAAATAGTAAAAAATAAAAATGAAACACTCACATTAAGACCACAAAAAACATATATTAAAATTGTATTTATTTATTTTTATTACATTTTTTAGGGCATTTTTAGGATTTTTAAGATTCTAGTATTGTAAGGAAAATCAGCCTGTCCGGGTACAATGATTAAAATAAAATAAAATTCAATTAAAATGATCCAGCATTAATTAAATTAAGTAAAACAAATGCTGCTGTGATGTATTTGATGTCTTTTTTTTGCATCACAATAATGAAAATTTAAAGGGGAAATATGCTATTATCACAATACTGATCCTAAAACTAGGCTTCATGTTCTTTATGCAAAATATATAAGTTCTAATGTCATGACTGTTGTGTGGTTGACTGGAGGACGGTCACATAGATCATCTATAGCAGATCTTTACTTAATATCCTAATGATTTTTGGCATAAAAGAAAAATACAATGTACCGGTATTGTTGGCTATTGCTACAAATATACCTGTGCTACTTAAGACTGGTTTTGTCATGTCTGTTATTGCAAAAGAGCAATAGAATGATTGATTTTTCGTCTGTCTGTCCGCTGCAGATCGTGAGCAGACGGCGTGTGAGCGTCACAGAGAAGCAGCCCAGGCCTCGTCCTCTTCCTCGGGTGAATTCTTCTTCTTCCGTCCGCGTCCGGCCGTCGGTCAGTACGTGCCCAGCTGTGACGCTTACGGTGCTTACGAACCCCTGCAGTGTCACGCCAGCGTGGCTCAGTGCTGGTGCGTCGACTTGTCCGGACAGGAGCTTCCCGGATCCAGAGCCCAACCGAGCAGCAGACCCATGTGTAAGAGCAGAGAGCGGC